TCATTTTCTTTCTTTCTGCCCCAATAACCCATTTCTTTCTGCCTGCCCACCTGTGTTTATGCATCTGGGATGCCAAAGCAGACCCCTCTGTAAATTAGAGAATCTTGAATGATTGCAGTGTGTGCTGTTCCTTTCCTCAATATATTTCACTGCCTTACCTTTTTCTTTTTTTAAAAAAGTATATTTATTAAGATTTTTCTCATAAATAAAAGACAAATTAAAAAGAAAAGAAACAAAAACGTGCAAAAAATAAAAAAGAAATTAAAGTTAAGAAATATATAAGTGACTTCCGACCTTCTTTTCAACAGATAATCACAATCTTACTATCCCTCCTTCCCTTTAGATGTTATGCAAGTCCCTTCAGCCCTCATTTAATCCATGTCTTCTTAATCTTCAAATCCATAAATCATCATTTCATTTCTTTCTACTTTCAGGAAAAAGTCCATATAAGGTTTTCAGTCTTTCAAAGAAGTTTTTGTTGTTTTTTTCTCCAACCAAACAGGTCAGTTTTGTCATTTCTGCAAATTCTGACATTTTCACAATCCATTCCTACTACCTTACCTTTTTCAACTCTGCAAGTCATCCATTCACTGCACAGAGCACTTAGATAATAAAATAAATAACAAAATGAAATTATTGGATTCAGACAGACATAAACAAATGTTCTGGGAAGATTAATTAAGAGGAAGGAAGCACATAGTGGATCTGCATCTCATACTTCTGAAAGCTAACCATTTCAGGATTCTCAGTGTCTACAGAGAGGTAGAGAAATGAAAATGAATTGACTGAAACTTACTCTGTTCAGAAATGTAACAATCCCAATTAGCCTTGACGCAGCTATGCAAACATGGCTTTGGAAGCATACAGTGATTGCTAACCAAAAGCAAAATAGCAGGAGTTACTGCTAATATCTTTGGAATCTCTAGATTTTCAAAAGAGTGTTCTTTATTGGTGAACAGATCCTTGAAAGTAAGATCATATTTGGAGCAGTATTTTCTTTTTTAAAATCCAAGCATGAAGCCACAAGACTGATTCAGATTGTGCAGGAAACTGATTTGAGACATAGGACATGTGCCAATCTTATGTTAATTCAGGTGCATGCTGAAAACTTTTTGTGAGGGACAGAAGGGCTGAAGTCAGATGCAAAAATCCTGGGACCAGACAGGTGTGTTATAGTAACAATGCATAGATGTCAACCATCAGATGAACCTACAGATAAGCAACCAGCTCTCTGCCCATTAGGACACAGAGGCAAGGGAAAGAGAGATCAGGCTGGCATCTTGGGACTGCTATCTACATAGCTTGAGGCATATGGTTAGCAGTTACTAGTTTTCTGCTCTAATTATGGCTATTCAAATATCTAATAAAACTAGATGATCAAAGGCTGTACCCTTGAATCTCTGCCTGCTAGCCTTCTAGTTTTGAGTATCAGTCTGGAGGAAGCTTGACACTGATATTCACTCTAGCATTTACCACATTGTGCATATTTATATATTTTTCATTCTTTTGTATGTATATTAAATGGTACACTATACACAATGTATTAATATTATACATTGCCTGCAGATGCGTAGCATGATAAGCAGCCTAAAAGCATTTCTGATAGACCAGGGGCCCAGTTTAAAGTTTGCCTGTGTCCTATAGCTATGCTTTATTTCTCTCTGCTTTTCTCATTCCCCTCCTCTAGGTGAGGTGGACCAAAACTGCTGGCAGCGCCTCGGACAAATTCCAGGAGACGTCGGTGTTGAATGAGACCCTTCTGATTGAGAAGATCCAGAGGCTGCAGGGGGGTCGCTATTACTGTAAAGCAGAGAATGGGGTTGGGGTCCCAGCCATCAAGTCCATTCGAGTAGATGTGCAGTGTAAGTCATTTTGTGGCCATCCAAGGCTTCCCACAGTTCTACTGTGTGTATCTACTTGATCATCTGGCTAGTGAAATTCTGCATTGACCTAGACTCATTCTCATACCTCTGAGGCAAAGGGATAAACCTTGTTATATCCATGCTCCCTTTCCTGAAAGTGCTGGTCTTGGACCCTCGTTAACTAAGGGCCAGTTCATTCATGGCCATATAAGAGAAGGCGCACATGCTATAGTCAGTGGTGTGCTGCAATTTGATCAAGCCCATCTGGATAAAGATCTTCACTCAGCCATGTGGTGATGGGATTTCCTTATTCATTTCAGATATAAACCTGGGTTTAACACCAAATGAAAAAGCAAAAGCAAGTCTTAGTCTTACCTGCCTGCATTTTCTCCTTAGTCCCACACAAATCAGCAACCTCTGCTTCCTCTTTTAAACTAACTAACTATTAATTCATCAAGTGAGAGTTGGAACCTTAGCTAGTTAAAAAGAGGGTAAGTCAAAGTGATACTCACCAAATATTTTGGGTTAACAACTTCTGTCAACTTCAAGTGTTATGGCCAGTAGTCAGGAATTATTAGAATTGTAATTCAAAACATCTGCAGAGCTCTAGGTTGCTATGTATAGTTTAAAACATGGTTTGTCATTGGGCTGTTAATAAACAGTCATTGGAACTAATCAGAGTGTTCTAGGTTCAGACTTCTGGCTGGTTTAATGACTTCTCTTTCTGGCCACGTTGGAGGAAAAAGGAGCAGACCTGAGGCTGGTTCTCTTTGTTCTACTATAATTTAGTATTATGAGAAATAGATCTTTCTTTCATTGTAATAATGAACTGTATATCAGATTCCACTGCATGAAACTAAAATCCCTTCTATTTTACTTGCCTTCTAACATGAGGCTAATCTTCCTGGCAAAGTGTCAGCCCTCCAAGGTAGACCAGACTAGGTAACCAAAGTTACACATTCTAATACTACTTTTATTATAAGGTTATAATAACAGAATCTTGCAAGTCTGCATGCACTTCCTTCTCTCCCCCCCCCCCTTTATTTTTGTGAGAACCAGGAGGGTCTTGTCTGAGATGCTAATTTGGGTTACAGATCTGCCTCAGACTCAGATTTCTTTTATCTGACTATTGTCTTGACTGGGGCTCTTCCTCCTGTTCCTCAAGGTTATTCCTTCTGTCCCTTACACAAAGTGGTTGATTCACACAGTTGCACAAATATACACATAAATGATATAATAAATATGAGCATGATAATTAACCCAGGCCTATCTTAATATTTTCATAAAACCATAGAACTCCAAAGAATCTTAAAGGTCATTTAGTCCAATCCCCTCTTCAATGCAGGATCTACTAGAGCATCTCTGAATGAAGATCTCTAATGAGGAACTCACCTCTTCATGTGACAGCCTCTTCCACTGGCTGACAGTTTATAGAGTCAGGAAGTTCCTCTTGAAGTCTAGCCTGATGTTCTTGTAATTGGTTCTGGTCCTATTCTCTGAAGCAATCGAGAAAATCCACTCTTCCTTCTGTGTGAGAGCTCTAAAGTTATTTGAAGAGTGCTATAATGACTCTCTTAGTTATCTTATCTGTAGGCTGAACATACCCAGATCCTTTAACCATTCCTGACTGGATTCAATTTTAGACCTTTCACTATCTCTCTCTGAAATTTCTCCAATATGTTACTATCTCTTTGAAAGTGATGTGCCCAAAACTAAATACAGTTCTACAAATGGGTCTGCCCTAGGCAGAGTACAGTGGGAAGAATTACTTCCCATGATCTGTTCTCTATGCGCCTGTTAATGTACTCCATGATAGCATTTGCCTTTTAGCAGCTACATCACACTGATGGCTCATGTTTAATTTGTAATTGAGAAGGACTCTTTCACATATACTACTGCCAAGCCTAGTCTCCCCCATCCTATACTTTTGCCTTACATTTTTCCTTCTAAGATGCAGAACTTTGCATGTCTCCCAGCTAAATTCCATTCTATTCACTTTGGCTCACTGCTCAAACCAGTCTAGGTCTTTTAAAATCTTTTTTATCTCATCTAAAGTATTAACCACCTATCCCTGCTTTGTGTCATTCCCCTTCTTATACTCTGGGTCACTCAGAGTTCAGTACTCCTATTTTCACAAGGATTTTTGTTGGCTTGTGTGACTTTAACAAGAGATCAGAGAAATTCATGGAGAAATTAATAATTTCAAAGTTATTGGTTTTAAAAAAACTCAGTCCTGCTAATACAAGTTGCAGGAGAACATCAGTATGCTTCCATCTTCTGTTTGTGGATACTCCAGAGGCATTTGGTGCTGGCTAAAATGTGCCCTGGCCTGATCCTACAAGACTTTACTTATATTGATAATCACCTGTTCAAATATCTGATAATGAGTGATATAATTAATCCCATTTTCATGCTTCCCTGCAACCCTTCTACTGTGTTTGTAAATATATATCTTGCTTCCTTCCAGGTGACTGACAGCAATTGCAGGCAGCTAGAAGAAACTTTTTACAGGTCTCTAAAAGCCAGTTTCCTCCTGCCAATTAATCAGCTAGAGAAGAACAATTGGAAAGTGGTTTTGAAATGCATTTCTCCAAAGAGAATGTTGCGACAATATATACTTAGAAATTTAACATTTTACTTCACAGCCAGTCCTATCCCTCCCCAAAAGACTGTCCTCACCTGTATATTATTTTTAATTAGATCTGTACAAAACACTTGAGTCTAAGCATAAGGAACCCCTTTAGTGCCAGCTGCTGAGGGGATTTTTAAATCTTTTCTAGGAAATTAATGTTCTTTTCTTGGAATATTTAGGAGAAGCTTCACCAACTTGTCACCTTCCTCACTGTTTGGAAATGTGGGGTCTTGCAGCTGAAACACAACTAGGTACTCTGCCTAGGCTGGTTTAGGTTTTCTTGTCCTCCTCTACTGTGTAGCTTCCCTGTGCTTCTCTTTGCTTCCTTAAACTTGTTTATCATGGATAATTTATCACTGCTTATTAAAATGTCCCATCTCAAAAGGGAGTTGATTTCTTCTGCAGTTTCCCTTTGCTTTTAGGATGTAGCTTGGATCTAAGCTGATGCAGAGTCCTGTTCTTCTTCCTTCGTTTCTGACCTTTAGCGCTATGGGGTAAATTGGGTGGCCAAGGGCTTTCCAATACTAACATCTACTCTACCGATGGACTTGGTAATATACCTCCTGCTTTCTGTGCGTGTCTGTGTGTTGCTGTCCTAGAGAAAAGTTTGCAATTTTTGCAGCGGATGGATGGATAGATGGATGGTTGAGAGAGTTGGAAAGGACTAGGTTAATCCTTACCACTATTGCCCTTAACTGCACATTTCATGACATTGTTTTATTCCTCTGTCCTTAATATGCAACAAACATTCCCTTTCATTTACTGTTGATGATAATTTTCTAGTTATTTGTGCCCTGACCTAAGATTATATGGTATCTGAAACATACATTGAAAACATAGTGCAAATTGCTTAGGACAGTTTGTCTATTTGCTCAGAATTGAGATGACGTCCGTGTGCCTCTTTCTCAGATCAAGTTGTAATCATTCCTGACACTTGGAGAAAGTAAAATGGAAATATAGAACTAGCCACATATTCCTAATGTGACTATGCTGCAGTCGAGGGATGTTCAGACCAGCTGTGAACATGATGCTTTATTCATGACATCCTGGATACAAAGACAGTACATTACTAAAAGTTGAAATTACTCAAATTTTTGACCGAATTCCTAAGCAGCTTTCAGTTTTCAGAAAAACATCAGGTCATGTGTTATCATTTACTCACCTAAATCTGTTTCAAAGCTTCATGTAAATCCCTGTAGAAGAAAGCCAGCCAACAGGCTGCTACGTTTCAGTTGATGCCAGCAAGGCAGTGTGCTGAAGATTCAGAAAACTGCCATCACTGGCGCTAAGTCCCCAGATACCATCATTAATCAGGGAAGCTTTTCCTTGGAGCCTTTCCATACTGGGAGGAAGAGATAGGAAAGCCAGATGGAAAGTAGGGACATTTAAAAGTTATATTGATATTGAAACAACCCACATGGTTGTATCTGTTGGCAAGCCAATAACCGTAGGTTGAATTAAGCTCTGATGTAATTTTATTAACATTTTTTATTATTGTAAGCATTAGTGTATCTAGCTAGAGATAAATACAGTGCTTTGAACAATTCAAAATATTATAAAAAATTAAGTAGAACTCTTCTCATAATCATCATTACTATTGTCATCACTATTTGCTAAGATTTAATACTTTTAATGATTCCTTTTTTGCTGAGACATGCTTTTAAGTGAAAAGAGTGGACACTTGCAAATTGCTACAGGCATGCAAAAGCTTCTTGGCTCCTCTATCATCTTTCCATAGACGACTTGGAAAACAAGGAAGAACGCTGGCATTCTTGAGTCAAATTATGATTTTCTTAGGGTTCAGAGTTTTTGAAGAGGGCAATTTTTGTTCTCAGGTTTCTTTAGAGAGATTGGAAGAGCGACAGTGAATTTGCAACTGGCTGCATTGGTTTGGGCATCATGATAAGTAAGGATCAGAAAGGATGATAAGAAAGAATGAGAGAGCCAGTTTGGTGTACTGGTGCAGTGGTTAAGCCATCAGGCTAGAAACCAGGAGACTGTGAGTTCTAGGCTTGCCTTAGGTACAAAGCCAGCTGAGTGACCCCTGGCCAGTCCCTCTCTCTCAGCCCTAGGAAGGAAGCAATGGCAAAACACTTCCAAAATCTTTCCAAGAAAACTGCAGGGACTTGTTCAGGCAGTCACCAGGAGTCAGCACTGACTCAAAGGCAACTATCTATCTATCTAAGGATGAGAAAAGTGATATCACATGAGCAGGACAGGGAGTTTGGGGACTTGTAGTTCCAACATGGTTAGTGAATACCAGGTTATAGAAGTTGATTGTAAGATAATAAAGACATGAACTTGAATAAAGGGAGATTCTGACACAGTTTGTACTTTTAAATATGATGGGCTCAAGTCACTTCAATTTATTTTAGTCATTCACTTTGACACAGTGGAGTTTTCCCCCCCAAATACTCCAAAGCAGTATGGTGAGAGATTAGAGCTGTCACATCTTGGAGACCGATAGGAAATTAAGGTTCTTTGGGATGAGGTACAGGTGAGAACTCATCACACTAAGAGTACTTAGGGCAGAAAAAATTGCCATGTGAAATTGCCAAGGGTAAGTCACCTTGTTATAACTGCTTCATAGCATCAAAAATGAATGAGTTAGGCGGCAGACAATTGAGATTTAGATCAGGTGAATTTTATTGCAGCCCTATTTGCATGTCATTGTTTAAAGCCCAGTAATGCTATTTCAGCTATTTCATTGTCACTGATTTTTTTTTTCTTTTTTCTTTAGCTTGTGGAAGGAACAAGGCAAAGAACAATTCTGAAGCCCATCCAGTTAGGAACTGCAGCAAAGGAAGTTCAAAATGCAGAGGAGACAAATAGCAATGAGGAGGAACAAATATTTTTTCACTTGAATAATGTGATCACAAAGCACTGGGGAAAAGAACCTAAACATTTAGTTACCATAGAAAGACCCCATTCCCCCATTAATATAAACACGAGTTTCTGGGTATACTGGAGTGAATATGTTGATCAGAAGTATAACAATCCAGGGGACTTCAATCATTCTTCTAAATGACTCTACCAACCACATTTTAGGTCATTGTAGGAACTCAAAAATGATTTATAAAGGAAAGTGGAGTCCTGACACTTATTTAGGAGGCATCCAGGAAGGTGACATTAAAGAAGTTTGCCTAGAATAAATGAAGTGGTGGAGTAAAGGTTAACATATATTGGTTGAAATTCCTAACTAAGTATTTAAGAAACCCCTCTAATCTGGCTCTGGATCTCTTTTATGTTTTCCTCTGCATTTTATATGTCATTTCTCAGCTAAAAAAATCTGCCCATGTGTCTGAAATATAGTTCTGGTATTATCAGACTAACAAATCTCAATTTCTATTACAAACACTGTCTCCTCAAAATATGTGCCTCATTAAAATATGCAAATTGTCTGGTCCGGGCACATCTCAATGGAAAATGTGTGCTTTTAGTAGAAAGTAGTATCTTCTCTTGAAACCAGATTTCCAGATTTGAATATAGCTAAATCAATATTTTAAATTTCAATAGCATATAAGTGCTTTATGGAAGAAAAAAGGAGCCTTCATGTGCTCTGTGGTCACATGCTTCAAATATGCAAGGACTCTGCATTTGGTCCTCATTAGCGTACATCTGGATTTTTTCTCCACTGCGTTTAATGATTATCCATCTCCCCAACCCCAGCATGCACACATACACACACCCCTCCAACAGTCTGGAGGCAGGGACATATGATGCACATTGACAACTTTCATTAATCTGGTTTGGCTCTGTCTCTCCTCATTAGCAGAACATTAAATGAAGCGGGAACCTAAATGGATGGCGAGAATTATATCATTTGATTCAAGGGTTCTTTGCTCCTTTAATCTACTCAATCTTGAAAGGTACCTTGGGAACAGAAGACTTATTATGATGCACTGAATTAGCATTATTAATAGTATTATATACTAGAGTATTACCTGCAGGGTTTTGGTTCACACAATAAGCACAGACTTGTAATATTGACTTTTGTCCCATGTAAAAACAATATTGGGGACAAAGGAGACTGCTTTGTACCAGGTTAGATCATCAGTTCATTGAACAATATTGTTTATACTGACTGGCACTGTGTCTTTCAGTTTTCTGATAAGGAAGCAGTTTCAGTGTTATTTGGAGATGGCAACTTTGGCCTTTCTGAAGGTAAAGAGTATGCCCAACTACTAAGTTATACTTTTCCCGTAATACACAAATGCTAGATGTGTTGGCCATCAAAGAAATTCAAAATAAAAAATCTGTACAGGCAATATCTTTATTGTACCAACAAAAATTTTGTATTAACTGCAAGCTTTCAAGTTTCTTAAAAGTTTTAATGAAGTGAAATAGTTAAAAAGCAGAAAAATGAACAAGGGATTTGTGACTAACATTATGAGCCATTCGGCCTCTTATATGGAGTAAAAGCCAGCTTCTTTAGAGAGTTATATCTTTACAGAAACCCTTGCTATAATTCAGCAACATTTTGCATCCTGCTGTATTGGACAACATCCAAATTGCATTCCTTGAGGCTGATAAAGATTTTTAAGAAACATGAAAACTTGCAGTGATGATAAAATATTGGTTGAGCAAATAAAGATATTGCCCTTGTGGGGTTTTGAGCAGGTCCTGCTTAAATTGCTTTTCATTGTGATTAATTTTTGTATGCATGAAGATTTTTGAATGGAAGAACATTCAATAGTATAATTCCAGAATAACTCTTAGAGTTCTTGATTCTTGATTCTATGCTAAATGTAGATCAACCCCAGTTCTAGGATGAGCATAACACTAACCTCTGGCCTTAGCGTAGAAACAAATGATTGCGGAACATATACAGAAATCCAATTTTAAATGTTAACTTTATAAAAAGGAGAGCAAATTTGGGTTAACTAGAAAGTGAGATTTAAAATATTCTTTTCTAGTTGAGGGGCCATGTAAGATGAAAGATTAAGCTGTATCTTTCCACTAGTACTACCTCAGCTGATGGAGCAAGAACTTCGTTCAAATTTAGAGAAGCTGCAGCTAAAACTACAAAGCATCATTAGTAGAATAAAAATGAACAGGTGCATTTGGCAGGCTAGGCAGAAACAACCAGATTTGGCATCAGGTTTTCACAATCATTATTAAAGATCTCCACTCCACAATGACAGACAAAATACAAAGCACTTGAATTTTGTCAACTGGCACAAAGCTGGACATAGTGCTTAAAATATCAATACACCACATTAAAAATAGTCTTATCTCCTGTTTTCTTTCACCAGATGGCTTGCTAAAAGACAACAGAATGCACAATTTATTCAAGGGACTTCTGTGACATGTTCACTAGCCCCAGGACAAAATCAGCCTTGCAGCCTTCTGGGGCCAGATAATTTACAGAGAGAAGTCCTTGTAGTATTTAGTGATCTATCTGGCGAATGCAATTTACCCTATTCCTCATTTAGCTATTTTAGAAAAGCTCAGTTGCTATGCAGATACCTATCAGATAGTTGGCCTTCCTTTGGGAAGGTGTCACTTTGAGAATTACTAGTTTGCCAGGTGAGTGGAGTGAAGTCTCCCAATCTACCTTCGTTGTCCTTTATATCTGGAGTATTGGCTGACCCACAGACTTCGTACATTCTGACTTAAATTTCATTAACAGCCTCTGTGGATTCCCTCCTTCCTTCTTTTCTTTGCAGATTTGGACAAGCCTGTCCTTACTGTCCATCAAACTATCAGTGATGTCCGTGGGAGTTTTTATCATGAGAAGACAGTCTTCCTTCGATGCACAGTTAGCTCTAATCCACCTGCTCGCTTCATCTGGAGACGGGGTTCCGAGACTCTTTCCCATAGTCAGGATAATGGAGTGGATATCTATGAACCATTGTACACAGAGGTGAGATAGTTGTTACCTCTTCCTATACTTTTTGGACATTCAGGGGAACTTGGAAATCCTTCCTTCCTTCCTTCCTTCCTTCCTTCCTTCCTTCCTTCCTTCCTTCCTTCCTTCCTTCCTTCCTTCGTGAAGTTATATAGGTATCAAGAATAGTAGTCACCGAGTCTTATCTCCATGAATTTATCTAAACCTATTTTAAAACACCCAGGCTCAATAGTTTAACTGTACACAGTGTGAAGAGATACAATCGTTTATCTTGAATTTTCTACCAGTCTCCAACCATTGAATGATTCCAGGTTGTAATATGAGAGAGGAGTAAAAACTAACCTATATTAACTTCCTTCACATCATGCCCAATTTTATCCATTTCATCATATCCCTGCCTTTTTTCTGTTAAAAACTAATGCAAGATTTTTTTCATAGAGGGTTGTTTCTGTGGCCTTGATCATTTTAATTGTTCTTTTTTCACTTTCTACAGCTTTACATGTAGAATTTCCAATATGAATGCACCACAGATTCTTATAAAGACTTCTGACTTCTGGTGATCCTCAAAAAAGAATTGGGGTTTTTTTATGCAATACAATAGCCACTATTTTTTCTTTGATTGATTTACTATGGTATCAAGCTAAGATCCCTGCAGTATAGTACTTCAGATAACATGATTGTTTATGTGATGTGTGGTTAGATTATCCCAGTGTTCATTATAATGTTTGTTTACACTGAACTGTGTGTGCCACTAGTGCCTGATATGGGCCTGTAACTGAACCAGAAAGTCCTAAAACTGAATTAAGAGATTCTAAGATGGGAGGAAAATTACAACAGTATAACATTAAAGAGAAGGAGCCATGAGGTCAAGGAAAGTATTAACTCAACAAGGTTAACAGATGTGATAAGTGGGACAGATAGAAAGAAAGGAATGAAGGAAAATGGGCAGATTTGGCAGTCCCTATGTACAAGTCCAAAATTCACAGCCCAGCATTCTAGGTGCAGCCCTATTGCCAAACTGATAAAAATCAATTTGAAGAGCTGTCTATCAATCACTAAAGTTTGCTTTGTTACTTTATATTATTTATGTTCATTAATGGATAGATATTTGTACCTAAAAAAATTAAGCAACTCCTTGGGGTAAGGAGAAGCTTGTTGAATACTAAAGAAAAGCATCATGCTCCTATTTTGCAACCATAGCTGTTCAGGCTATGTGATTAATCTATGAAATCTAATAGCAGCAAGTTGAATTCTCCCCTCTCCTACTGCCAAGTGGATTGTCTATGCTTCATTAATGCTCTGCCTCAGTTTTTGAAATTAATGACTGGTTTTTCTTGAGATTGTTCAAATACCTAGTGATGAAGTACTATTCAGAAACAATCTCCACTATGAATGTGTTTTTCTTTATTTTTCTATTCCATAAATTCTCAAAACTTCCCATGTGCTGACTTTCTTAAATCACATGCTAGCATTTTTCTTCTTTGAAGTCTTAGGAAATTGAGACTATATTCCTCAAAGCAATCTGGAAAATTAGCCCCCACCAACCCTGCAGCTTTACTTGATGTGCATATCTATAGTTAATTTCACTGTCCTTCTGAGAGGAAGGGAAGGGAAGGGAAGAAGATTATATTGAGATAGTTGCATTCTGCAGATTTGTCTACCAACCTCAAGCTGGGGTCTGTGTGGATTCTGTCTGCATTTGATTTTTGCAGCATGCCCTAGGCAGCCTCTCAAGTCGTACCAAAACTATTCTTCTGTGCATGCAGGGGAATCATGCAATGAGATGAAATACAGTGTCTTGGGATGTTGGGACTGAAGAGAGGAGATCCATGAACAACTCAAATGTCTGTTGTATTTCCAGAATAATATTCAAAGAGGGAAGGCATGAGTCTTGCCTTGTGGAAGGAAGATGCTTCTTAGATGAAAGTAAAGCCTGAGGACAGGGGAGGTATATGAATTCCTGCCACAGCTCTTACATGGAAAGCAAGTAAAAGGAAAAACAATTTTCCTGTTCATGTTCACATTTGCTTTATGAAATCTGAAGCTTTAATTGGCTTATCATCATAAATGCAAATATATTATAGGTGTGTGTTGCTGTTCTGTAGGAGGAACTCTGGGGTTAGTAAGAAATCTGGTTAGTAAAATATAGATTGCATTCTGTTGTCCCTTCTCAGTAACATTGTTGCTTAACTTTTCTGCCTATTTCAGCAATTTCTACAGGTGGTCAGAGAAGGAACTATGATTCTTGGCAGGATTAACCATCAAGCAAAATATTAATATGTTGAGATGCAGAACTGTTAAGAATTGTTTTGGTGAGCATTTTGAGTAAAAATAGCCACTGATGTAGAGGGGAAATTAATATATTCTTCTTTGATTGTAGTCACTGACATTGGACTAAAAATAAATATTTAAAATTTCCCCATAGTGATGACCCTGTTGTGTGGGTTCTAATTCTTGGAGCTGTTCCTTTACATGAGACTAGAAATCCCAGTTCCTTTGTCTTCCTGTGGTTATAGCATTGTAGTTGGCTCAATTGCTCTACCTTGCACCTGCTTTTCTATCTTGCATCTGCTTTCTGTTTGAATTATTTTGTTGTGCTTAAGGATTATATTAATTAGTTGCTGGAAGGAAAGTTTTTTTTTCTTCTTCTTTATCAGGTCTACATCCTGTCTTTCCTCTAGGCAGCATATATAACATGCCTCTTACTTTTATCCTCACAACAACCCCATGAGACAGTTCAACTGAGAGATCATGAGTGGCCAAAACTACCCAGTGGGTTCACTGAGACTAGATCCTAAATCTGCCCCTTCCTAGTTCACCACTCTAACCATTATATCACACTACATCCTAAAACAATCTTTATGGCAGGGAGAGATATTTTATAATTGGGAGAAAGTTAATAACTGGCACACTATAAAAAACTGCAGCTCTGCAAGTAGCTACTTGCAGAAAGAGTTGGAGTGAATTTGTTGTTGTTATTTTCTAGCCTACAGTTGTAATCATTTTATATACCAGTGATAGGCTAACACCTATTACATTCCTTTGACTAGCCAAAATTGGGCAGCTGAGAGAGGAAGCAGATCAATTGCTTGTTTATGGTATATTATGGTATTGCTAAAAAGAGAGAGAAGAGTTTGGGTGTGTGATGTTCCACTCATCTGTATGCTTTCTACTTTCTCAGCATTACTCTTTAAAAGAAGCTTAGAGACAGCTGGTTACATTAACAGGTAAACTGTAAACTTAATGGTTTAAGCTTTGTATAGTGATTTACAGACCTGGTTGTTACACATTTACCCCATGTTTATTGATCAATAAATTGGATGTATGCAAACCATGCATAAATCAATATTTGACAGGCAGGTTCTAAATGCTATTGTCCAAACAGAATAGCAACCATTCTCCAGGCAAGTTTTCAGTAGTATTGTGGTCTTTGTGGTGTTTCTCTTGCTCAAAAGCTACATGTTCCCTTGCATATTTTGATTGAATTTTGCCTTCTGACCCTCATAGCCCACTCAGGTGAATACAGGTGGCTTTGCATGAGATCAGTCTGATGAAAGGCATTCCCTAAAACAGATTTACTTTAAACAAAAAGGCAAGTAAAAGCAAACATTATCTGAGATCAGATAAGCAAGCCACTTGAATAAAAATATCAACTTATGTAATATTCCATGCCTAACTTGGTGTTAGGGTTTAAGCCCAGGTATAGCAATTAAACTCTTCCTCTGCATTCCTTTTTTTATATTAATTTTATTAAACATTACAATTACAACTAAAAAAAAGAATAGAAAGAAGAAATAGAAAGTGCAGAAAAAAAGGAAAAAGAAAAATAGAAATGAAAGAAAAAATAAGAATACAGTAAAGAAAAAGAAAATATACAGAAGAATGACTTCCCCCTTCATTACAAGTATAAACAATTTTAGTAACTTATCACCTCTTAAAATACAACAAATGATCTCTTCTTCCCATATCCCATCTCTTATCTATAAGCAAATCCTTAAAGCCTCTTCAGTTCAGTCCTGATGTCAGCAAATGTCCCTTAAGGGTTACCAGAGATAACATATCTATTTTAATCTTGATCAACTTTATATTTCTTCCTTTTACTTCTAACAATCTTGATCTTTAGTCCCTTCAAATAATATCCTAATACTTGATTTCTGTTCATATTTTCTTTGTCCCTTCTCACAAAATTCTTCAAAGCTTTAGCAAACCTCTTTTGTAAATCCAATGTAAGAAAATTATCCAGATCACTCTTTTGGTTTGTTATTTATACATCCCTTTTAATTTTGAAGACATCAGGTAGTTTCTTTTGTATGTCCAGTGTGACATCTTTTTCCATGTCATTCTTATAGCCTGTCATATTTAAATCCACTTTCAAATCAGTCTCAATCTTGTCAGGTAAAACTTGTTCCTCTTCCATAACATCTTTTAAAGACAGTCTATCTGTAGAGGCAGGTATTCTTAAAATTAATTTCTGGGTCCATTGTTGAAAAATATCCTTCAATTTATCCAATGTTAATATATTTTGCTTCATTCGGTATTTGTAAGTCAAGTGTAAGTATTCTCCTTCACAGGTACTCTCACTATCCAGTCATTTGTTCAGCGACCGTTCAAAGTTACAACAGTGCTGAACAAAGGGACTTATGACCTGACTGAAAGTTGTGGTCATCTGGGCCCTTGCAGTTGTTTCACCCTTATGGCAGGTTGCCAAGCAGCCCACAATCATATGATCACCATTTACAATCTTCCCTGCCACCTGCCGGGAAAGTAACTGGCAGGGAAGGTCGCAAGCTGCTGCCACCTGCTGAGAGGACTCCCTCTTATCTCTGAGGTTGTCTGAAAATGCCCCATGCCAAAATCCTGCTTGGATTTCTGCATGAAGGTTTTCAGGCAGCCCCCATGGGGCTTTTAGCAAACGGAGCTTTGGGGGCTGCCTGAAAAAGCTTCCTGCCAAAAATCCAAGCAGGATTTTCTGCCACAGAGGGGCGGGGAGGGAATGGGTTTGGAGGGAGCAAGGGGGTGCATGGGGGTGCATGGGAGGATTGGGTCAGATGTGTGGGGGTATGGTGAGGGCCCCTTGATTGTGGGAAGTTGGCAGGAAGTTGCCTCACCTAGAGACCGGGGCTTTCACTTAATGACAGAAACAGGGACTGCTGGGATTGTGGTCGTTAAGCGATGTGGTCATGTGATGTTTCACCTTAATGACCGCATCGCTTAGTGACTGACGTTTTGGTCCCAATTGTGGTCAGATAGCAAGGACTACCTGTAATTGTAATCTTCAGTTCCTTCTAGTTCCCTCCAGTGTTTAGTTCCCTCCAGTGTCAAAGTCCCATCCTATCATTATTATTCTTTTTTTTTTTAAGAATACAAAACAAAAGCATTTCCCATGGGAAGGATTCTTTATAAGAATCCTTATAAAGGATGGACCCTTAGTCCATTTGTAACTTTCTAATATCAAAGTTTTAATAAGTCCTTAAATTTGTATTTAAAACTTCTTGGGCTAAGGATTGAATGAAACTCACCCCGTGCTGTAAAACTTGTCAATCCAAAGGTTCCTAATAGCTGAAGAGCAGTTAACAAGCAGTTTCCAAAAATGATTAGAAAAGGAAGTATGCAAACCCAATGTCCTTTCAAAGGCGCCAACCATGGTTTGAGCAAGATGGTTATTCCCTCAACTCCCAGAGCTCTAAAGCCACTGGAGAATGCTAACTTGCAGTCTCCTCATGAGGAGCAACTTTCTGGAGTACTTGTGGGCAATCTCAAGTGCTCTCCTTGTCTGAAGAGGAATTACAAATAGCCGGTCTACTCGCCAGCTCTTCATCCCGCTGTAGTCGTCGACTCTACTTTTCACGGAGTCCACCATTTCTTCCCCAGAAGTCTCTTCCTCTGCATTCACAAGCAGGCACAAGAAGGTTAGATAAGCAAATTTACTGTAGAGAATTAGAAAACTATAAATACCAAAATCTCCAAGAGAAATCCTGGCTTGAAGCCTCAAATCTGGTCCTCTATATGTTAGCTCTAAGTTTTAATTCTGGGGCCTCTTCCTACTATTTTTTGAGTCAACAGTCATTTAGTTGCTTGTTTCCTGGCCTTGCAGCTTTCTGCAACCCGTCTGTCCTTTTTTCGCAGCTTCATCTGCATGAGAATCAGAGAGTACTACTTCACCAGCCCTTGTACCAGGAATGACAGTTTCAAAAAGTAATGTTCTATCAACTGGGAAAAAAGGGAGAGTGTGGAAGGAGGGAAAACTGTACATCACTTTGGGTCACATTTTGGACGGGGGGGGGATGTTTTAATAATTTGAGAATCATGTGGGAAGGGTGTATAAGATAGGATAACATCCAGGTTACTAAGGGAGAGCTGCAGTGATTTAGCATAAGGGTATTCTGACAAAATCAGAAGAGTGAAGTTAGAAAATAGACTGTTAGTGAATTATGTTATGAACCAAAAGGAGTTTCACAAAAACTCAAAGCAAAACAGAAGATACAATTCAGAAGAATAGAAAGAAAACGTTAGACTCTCCTGATACCAATAGAAGCGAATATGTGTAGCTCAGGGTTGAACTGTGGAGTCCTTGGGGTTCTC